TTGCCCACATGCCAATCCAATTGTAACATTTTTTTCAGTTGAGACTCCCTTTTCCAAAATGACTCTAGTTTATATCAGATTTCTGGGGGGAAAAATACCAGTATATTTCCCAAAGCCCCATTTTGTGCTGTCGTCTCAATGGGAGTTAAGATTTCAATACATTAATATTTGGTTGATATAATAGACACTCAGTCTTTTTATTGCTACACCCCTCTCTTGGCATGTTCATTCTAAATGACTTCTCAGATATCAGCAAAACTTCAGTTCTTCTTAAAACTTGAGGGCTATGTCTCAAAGATTTGTTGAGGGATCACGATAATGTCATAAAACTCCTATGGTGCTCTGTTTTCTTCTTGGAAAAGAAAGACCATAGGCTGGCAAAATGGCCATGTTCCCATGATGATATAACTCCCACCAGCACTTTTATCAGTATATATTCTTATTCGTGAGCTCATTTGATTGCCAACGGTTTCTGCTAGTTGAATATGATAGCAGAAGTTGTGCCAGTCTACCACCTGTGACTGTGTATTCCTGATTCTGAGACCTACAGCTGCCTGCTCAACACACACATGCTGAATGAATTGAACTTTGGGTTTAGCTGCATACCATAATCTTCTCCCAGTTCATGAGGGTATGTCATCTAGTCAGTTACCTGAACTATTATAAAAGAACAGAACTGGAAGTGACCTAGCGAAGTATGGAATCCACCCAATCCCACTTTAAATAACTTCAAACCAACCATATTTTACTAGGTAGGATAAGAATGTGTTTTTATTCCAATATTGGATTACCACATGGATAAGGAAGGAAAACTAAAAAAGGGTGATGGAAAGCATGGCCAAATGGTTGATTTTGTTTCTTGGAAAATCAGGAATGGGAAACAGAAGAGCTAATGTTTAGTTCTGGATTTCCCTAAGTTTACTTTTCCAAGTTTTAAAATGTTAGATATAATGTTTATAGTTTCATTATTTTCACCTATAATAAATGTTGCTTTCTGCTAGTTCATCTCTTACAGAATTCATTTCCTGATGCTTTTATTCTGCCAATGAAGTACAGTTTAGGGATAGTGTAGTAGCTGCTTAGCAAATGCAGGACCCTAGATCCAATCACTGGCAGCACAAAAATTTAACACTGCAAAACTTCTTTCTGATATATTCTAGAGTTCTTTGTTTCTCCAGGAGGAAAATGAGGTGGGCAAGGATGAAAGTCTACTTATATCAGGTGATGACCTCACAAAATTTTAGATTTAGAAAGTAGTGTCTCTACTACTTAGTTCATTTCATTTACACTTGAGGAAATGAACACCTAGAGAGGTTGTATGCTATGTATTATACCTTACACACCACAGAGGGAAGACTAGATCTCAGGTCTCCTGACATACAGGACTACTCAAAGGAAAACTGTGGTAACCCTGAACTCTGAACTTGAGTGTCATTTCTAGAGAAGCTATGTTTCTGCTGTTATGGTAATGGTACATTCAAGGTATTTTTTTGTAAGTGTAACCCCTACCTGAGCTAGTAGGGAAAAGAGCCATTGAGCTGAACTCTATGGTGCATCAAGCTACTTTAGATAGATCTGTCACATGCTTTATAAGTTCCTGATTGATTGCATGGAATTAAGTTATTGGGCAGAGAACCAGCTAATGGAAACACATCGATGAAATCATTTTTGAGGGACATTAAATGGAACTTAAAATAAAGCTGAAATGGTTTTATGGATTTTTCAGTCAAACTGTTTATGAACATTTATTGCCTGTAAATTATATTGTGTCAAAAGAAAGAACCAGTAGGTATCGTTTTATTAGGAGCTTTTTTGGAATAATAAAATCAAGAATAATATATTATCCAAGAATGGTAGAAGACAGGTTTGGGGATGTGTATCAATGATGGCTATCTATAAAAGTAAGAAATGTGGAAATCAGAAATCTGGTAGGATTTACAAATAAAAGATCTTTTTAAAAAGTGTTAATATCTCATATCATTGTAGATATGAGTTGGTTTGGGAAGTCAGGTAACTGGGCCCTTAAAGACAAGCACTACTTGACATGATCCTTGCTATTTGTTTAGACTTGGATAAAAATGGTTAAGTACAGGGCAGATGGATCTGCTGAGAGATCATCCAGAGCAGATGAGAAGATCATTGGGTCTAGAACTGAGGCTGAACTTAAGTTCCCAACCCCAAGCTCCTCAGCTCTATAGCGACAGAACAGTTTTCATGTCCCCAAGATACATATTGCACATCAATAAGATGCCCAGTCTCTTTACCATAAGGCACGCAAACATGACAGCATGTGTGATGACATCTGAAGGCTTGTCCTTGAGTAGGATCTCCCTCTCTAATGTGAATTCCAAGGTGAACTCAGGTGTTCAACCTCACATGACAAGTGATTCACCCACTGGGCTATTTTGCCAGCCTATGTTCCTTCTTTTCCAAAAAGAAAACGGAGCATCCTGGGAGTTACATGTCACCTTCAAGGTCCCTCAGCAAACTTCAGACTTGTTGAAATCTGAATCTAAAGTCATGGCTTTTGGTGCATAGAACACAAAAACACCATTGGCCAAATCCCAGCACAGAACAACTCAGAGGTTACTGGATTAGATGATGAAAGATGAGGAAGTGTGGGCATCTTGCCTTTCCCTCCCTTCCCACAGGGAGTCCTGTTTCCCACCCAGAGATGCCCCTCTGATATTTGTTGCCTTATTTTTCAGTAGGTGCTACATTCACCTGTGTGAACTACTTAGCTACACATCACTAATCACAGCAAGTTAAAAGAGGAATGTCTTGCTTGTGACTTACAACAGAAAGTTCAGAGTGTGGTCATTGGTTTGTCATTCTGTGTGTCTGGGAATGTGTGAGGCAGAGCACAAAAGTCAGAGATGGGAGCAGAAGATGTATGCCACGTGGCAGGCAGGAAACAAAATGAAATAGACACAAAAAGCCAATTAAGACAAGCATAGCCTCCAACAGCATGTACCTACCTCTACTTTCTTCAGCTCAGAGCTCTTCCTAAACCTCCTAAGAACTCCGAAAATGCCAACAACAGCTATGGACGAAACATTCAACACATAAGCCTGGGAGAGGCATTTGGCAGTCAAATAAAAATAGCCTAGCATGGACAAAGCAAGGTGATAACAGTCTTCAAAGCCAAATTTAGTTCGTGTTCAACAAAAGATACATGGTAATCTAGAATCCAGATTGTCCTATTTATACAAAACTACAATGAGGAAATTTCAGGGGCAAAATGAGTAATTTATGTATAACAAAACTTTCAATATTCTTATGTAATTTGCCTAACAATTTGTCAATTTCATTACGTGTATACTTCAACGTGTTTGAAATGCTATGGGATCTTAAAATGCAAGAATTTCAGTTCTGTGGAGATGCTCAGTGGGTAAAGTGCTTATCATGCAAACACAGGGAACTGAGTTTGGCATATTCCAACCAAGCCAGACTTGGTTGGAATACATTTGTGACTTCAGCATTGTGAGGTGGAGACAGATGGATCCCAAGGGTTTGCTATAGCCAGTCTGGCTACAGCAACTGTCCCCAAGTTCAGTGAGAGTCCCTGTCTTGACAAATAAGGTGGGGTGTCATTGAATAAGATACTCAATGTCAACTCTAGTTTCTACATGAGCATGCATGTGTGAACACACCTGAGCACGTATGTATACACACAGACAAACACACAAGTATATCTTTAGAGTGAGAAAGGCTTGAAATGGCCCACACTTAATGTTTCTGCCCAATGAACATGTCAATTCGATGAGATTGCTGCAGGGAGTATGAGCAAGGATACATGATGGAATCTATAGGATTCACTCAGAATCATTATCTTAAAAGTTTGTGCTGATCATCAAGTTATTCCTTCAATGGCTATGTGTAATGTGAGGCCAAAGCACTATTTTCTGATTTACTTGCAGCAGTCAGTTGCTGCATAAGTAAATAAGCAAATTCATTTTTATGGACACATCGTTATACCAAGATACATCTAAAATGAAGTAATAATTACAAATGAGGAGTTTCTAGGCAGTATAAACATGCAAGGCAGTGCTAGAAAGTTGCACATGAGTGCAAGATACTCCACTTTTCTTAACTGCATCAAACACATACACCAAATGTGAAGCGCTTAACTTCTTCAAAGTACAGGATACCGCCCCAGCTATGTTTAATTGAAAAGCTAATGTCCAAAGCAATTGTCCCCGATATACTGCAGGTTGAATGATCTGATATCACTTAAGGAGCATGAAAATCAGGTCATCGCTATGTTTTATAGCTTGAAAGGTTCATCTGATGTTGACAAATGGAATAGATAGAGACTGATAGCTCAAGCAGGAGCTGAATGTCTCATTTGGGCTAGGGATCAATGTTATACTCAGCACAGAAATGTGTACCTCAAGTGATCTCCCATAATGTTCCATTTGCATAACTTTTCAGAATCATAATGCAGAACGTAACTTACAGAAAAAGCTTTAACTTGACACTAGCAAACACTACCATCTAATCCCACGTGACGCAATTCGTACTGCATTTCAGGGAGAGGGCCTCAACTGCTGTATTCAAAACTTCCACTCAGGTGACCATCAATAGTTTATAAGAGAAAAGATTTAAAATCTCTCAATTCAAGACATCTTTTTAAATGCTTTTTTTCCTATTTGAGGCAAAAGTTATCAATTTGAGATTGAGGAGGTGAAACATGGGAGGGGCTCGACGAAGGAAAGGGAGAGGGAACATAATGTAATTGTGTTTTAATTATAAAGATATTTATTTGTTTGTTTTCCTTTTGGAAACTCAGAGGGCAGACTTCCTCCTGGCCTCACTCTGATATAACTAGAATTATCCCTGGTTTCTTTCCAAGGCTTGCTTACAGGAACAGATTCAATCCTGTCCTGTCAGAAGCCCTGAAGCTAGTGGCAATATGCATGCTCTCTGCTCTTATAGCATGCTGCAGATGCCCTGGGTGACCCCACATGTACAATGTCTATTTTGTCTTTTCTCTGTAGGAGCTGAAGGCACAGTCTTTCCCAAATCCATAGAAACACCTAATGTCAGAGCAGACCCCTTCAAGGAATTAAGGTAAGCGTCTAGCTTTGATTTGCACTAATCAGGACTGTTTCCTGTCTTTGGTTGACCAAGGACTCATTTTGAATAATGCTGACATTTAATTTGTATTGAACATGTTAACTGGGAGAGATTGGAGAATTACTCAAGACAGTGATAATTTTTCCTTTTTTTTTCATGAGTGCTTAAGGTCTGGGGTGAGAAGTTGCCAGCTATGAAAATGTGATTGGTGATTAGATTTCTGGGTTGACATTGTCTATTTATTGCTTATTTTTGGTTGTTACAAATTGATAGAGTTAGAAAACAAATCACAATTGGTGTTGATCAGCTGCCCCAAAAGTATTCTAAAAGAAGTTTGATTCTAAACCCAATTCAAATGTCTCTCACTTAACAGAATGTCTAATACTTGATGTTATATAGCACTGGGACTGTATTCTGTAGATATTCTTTGCATCAGGGTTGCTCTTCAAATATCCATAAGTATGGGTCTTAGCAGGGGAGGCATCTGAGATGCTTTATAGTTGTCACAACCATGTAAAATGAAAAATAGCAATATACAGACAGATGGATATAGAGATATAGCCTAAAAGCCATCCTAGATGCTATCATTCCCACAAGAGAAACACATTCAAAACTGTGTGTTGATATGAATACAACTGAGTTTTCTAAGGTCGGATTATAGTCACCTAGAAGCCAGGGGAATGCTGGTTTTCTTTGTGTTTGATAATTCTTTGACCTGACACCAATGGTAAATCACCAGGACAGACAACATTGGCTAACTACTTCACAATAGACATCAACTATAATAAAATGTATCTGCATTGCATGGGCTATATCCTGTCTTTCAGAATGGAGACACTAGATCTGTGCTTTGCTGAAATGGCCACAGCCACAGGGAAACCTGTATTCCCTTAACAGAAACACATTCTTAACCATGAGAAATATATGACTTTATTCCCAAAATCCAGTCATTTCTTCAAAATGTATACTCCCTAAGGATAAAGGGAAATAGATTGAGAGAAAAGAGGGAAATTATTAGGGAGTGAGAACTCAGTCCCCCAAAAAGCATCCCAAATAAGGTGGAGCTGTAGTTACAGGCCAGCTGTCCTACATGTGTGTGAGCATGCATGTATGTTCATGCATGCTTATACATGTGTGATGAATTTAGTACATACACTAGATTTCTGCACTTCCACAGTTACTACAGCAAGTTTCACAAGAGCCAAGACATAGAATCAACTCACTTGTGTCTTGATGGATGAATGAATAAAGAAAATGTGGCAGATGTGTAGTGTCACTGAATTTTAACTCAGAAACTGGATCAAAAAGAAGGGCAGTCTCTGGAGTTTTAGGAATAAGACTCCAGGTTTGGACAGCCTGAATCAGTGTTCTAAGAAAGACATGGGAAGTCTGAGTTTAGGTGGGCCATTGACTGTAGAGATGGTAAAGAAAGACTATCTGGAGGCAGGAGCAGATGCAGAGGCTATGGAGGGGTGCTGCTTACTGGCTTGCTTAACCTGCTATCTTATGGAATCCAGGACTACCTATAAGTCTATATTCTATAAGACTACCAGCCAAGAGATGGTATCACCAATCAGGGGCTGGACCCTCCCCAGTGATCACTAATTGAGAAACTGCCTTACAGCTGGATCTCATGGAGGCTCCTTCCTCTCTAATGACTCTAGCATGTGTCAAGTTGACACACTAAAACAGCCATTACAGACATCTTGTAGCATGACCAACCTTCCAACCTTTTGACATTGCAACATGACCTTGTCATCTGCAAAATTTACACACCATAACAAAGCACAAGGCAGTCAAATTATATGCATATATGCATGCTTGAATACACACATACACATACACACACACACACACACACACACACGTATCTATAAGTAACTTTGTGATTTGTGTTGAGCCCCATCCCTAGCTGTCTTTAGTAATGAGCTACAGATAAATACACCTGTTAGACAAATGGAAAAGATTTCCACTTACGGTTCACAGACGAATTTAGATTAGACTTGTTTGTTTTACATTTTTTAAATTATTGAATTGAATAACAGCATATTTTACTCTATTCTGCAAATTGATCTGATTTTGCCTATGGAGCCAAAAAAAAAACCGTGAACTTGAAGCCCGTGTCCTCTTGCCTCTGTCACCTTCATCCCACTGTGTCTTTGAACTCAAAGAAACAGAATACTTCAAAATGGCACTCCTGGACTTTCGTGAAAAGTAGAGAACCACAAACTGTCCTATTGCTAATGCAACAGAGTGAAAATGGCTAGGTACTATGAGTCAGGAACCCACTAAACTCTTTCCATGGCCTTGATCCAAACATGGAGCCCTGTCATCTATAGAAATCAAACTCTCTTTCAGTTCTAGATATCTATTTCTTTTGTATTATCTAACTTATTATTGTAAAATAATTTTAAATTTAAACATGAGTTATGGAAGAATATACAGATCTAGGCACTGGTGGCACATGCCTTTAATCCCAGCACTCGGGAAGCAGAGGCAGGCGGATCTCTATGAATTTGAGTCTACCCTGGTCTAAAGAGTGAATTCCAGGACAACCTCCAAAGCAATACAGAGAACCCCTGTCTCAAAAAATAAAAGAAAAGAAGAGAAAAGAAAAGAAAGTATATACAGATCATCTCCCTTACTATTCTCTAGTGTCAACTACTTACAGTCCTATGGTATCATGTTTTCTATTGAGATTGGCTTCAGAAGTTATAGTCATCTATCTCATCAATCAATAATATGTTATTAAAAGAGCTCTATAGACAGGAGCTGGTTGAGATGTAAGTGAATGGATCTTTCAAATTCTCTGTGCAGTTAAATTGTGGTATTGGGGATGGGGTTCTTTTACTGGTAAGCAAGTTGAGTCAAAAGACCCCAGAAAACTTGGACCTGGGCTTTCTTTTAAAATAGACAACTTAGATAACTATAGCACTCCCTCATCCAGATGATCAAACGTCAGAAAATTATACCTATCTCTGCATGCTTTTCCACTAGAATCACTCCCCTGTCCTTGCTCTCAGCTGTTGCAGAGTTTGGGTTCTTTGGTTTATTTATTTATTTATTTATTTTTGCTTGCTTATTTGATCACAGAAAGCTGTCTTGGGACTTCTGGCATTTCTTCTTTAGGTGATCTCAGTAAAGGAGAAATGGTTCCCTCATTGCAGAGTTTTGGTTTATTGCTTTGCTCTGGCATGACTATGGCCTCTGCTTTGCAGTTTTTACTGAAAATGTTTCTATATAATCCCCAAGCTGAGTTGAAATCCACAACAGAGGACTACTTCTCACTATACTGATAAGGGCTACAACAACCATCTAGGTAAGGAGGTTTGTTTATGTTGACTTTACCCTGAAGGGTAATTCTGAAATAATGATACAATGCTCCAGATTGGAAACTATACTCAAAAATACACTAAGTGCTGAACTTGTTCCTTGAAATAAGAGGAACTCACCCGGAATAGTAATTGGATTTTAATAAATTCACTACTCAGGGTATGAATATGCTCAATGTTCCCTTATTCAGACTCTTCTGATCTCCAGCTGTTCATGATCTGAGGTGGGAAATGGGCCCCTTGGCTTTGCATATGTATTTTTCTCTGAGAACAGAGAGAGGCCGCCTTTCAGTGCCAGCACTGCTCTGAGGGCTCCCTGTGACTGTGAAGCCTCCTTAGAGGATCCTAAGCCTTAGCGGGTTAGGAAGGAGACTCTGAAGTCAGAGACACCAGGGATGAAGAATTGAAAGGTGGAGACAAAGTTGTGAGGTCTGTGATATTTAGAAAACTTTAGCTAGCCCCCACATCTTGGAAGAACCCTAAAAATGCATAAGAACCAAGAAGCTATTTAAAAAGAAACACTCTTCACATTCTATTTCACATTCACTTAGAACAAGGAATAACCTGATCACCCTGTCTCCGAAATCAGAGACCATTTGCAAAGTAGTGGTTGGAGTCATGTACTGAACATCTGGAAAGCAGGTGTGAATAAAATGATCATTAAGATGGTTTTCAGTCAAGGGGGAATGCAACAGAAATATAACCCACAATATAGTGTAACATGAAAATTACTAGGATTGAAGTACGAATTAAACTGATTAAAAAACACAAAGAATAATAACATCTGCGTAGGTAAGGTTGCCAATAGCAAATGATGCTTGAAATATGTAGAAAAGAGTCTTAGGGTTGAAAGGGAAAGGGTGTCTCTAGCCACTTGTTTTAAGGAACACATAGCCCAACCTTTCTCTGTGGGCATCCATAACATTCCAGGGCATTTATTAAAATGTGCTTTTTTTTCCTTCTGGTGGTTATGTTATTTAATAAATTGTGGAAGTGATTTCAAATATGATTGCAAAAGACTTGAAATATCTTATTAAGTTGCTAAAGGTAGCATATCACATGGTTTGGGGATGAAAAATCATTTCAAAAATGTTGTACAACAACTGAAAATGTTATTACTTTTAGTTTTTTTTCTAGTATTACCAGCGTCCTAAAAATAGGACATGAGTCTTATATACATCTAGTAGTTCCAGCATATCCTGAAAGAGTCTATAGGTGGCATGGTGGCGTACATGTGTGTGTGCACACTTGTTTTTTAAATGTAAAATAGGAAAGCTAAATTTCTTTGAGAATGTGTAAGATTTAGGACCTGTGTTTATCATACAGAAATTAGAATTCAGTCATATAAATTGGCAAAAGTAAATTATTTTATTTTCTATTGCCTGTGCCTAACTAAAGCCTAACTAAATTTAGATTACCTTCCAGTGCTTTATAAATCTAAGGTACCAAGGTAGTGTGACATAGCCTCAGGCTTCAGTTAATTACAGGATGGCTATTAACCCTCCTCAGTGTCACCATACAAAACTACCAGACAATGTCTTTTAGAACTGGAAAGGAGGTAGAGAAAGAGAGAGGCATATAATGAGCCCCTTGGCTGAAGATGTGTGGTATATAGAACAATACCCCAGAATGTCTTTAGAATATATGGAACCTTTACATTTT